GTCATGTGGAAACAGGGTGGCATCAAGAAGCATGGAGAGATGTGGAATCAGGAAGATGGGGTAAAGGGGAGTCATGTGGAAACAGGGTGGCATCAAGAAGCAGGGAGAGATGTGGAATCAGGAAGATGGGGAAAAGGGGAGTCATGTGGAAACAGGGTGGCATCAAGAAGCAGGGAGAGATGTGGAATCAGGAAGATGGGGAAAAGGGGAGTCATGTGGAAACAGGGTGGCATCAAGAAGCAGGGAGAGATGTGGAATCAGGAAGATGGGGAAAAGGGGAGTCATGTGGAAACAGGGTGGCATGAAGAAGCAGGGAGAGATGTGGAATCAGGAAGATGGGGAAAAGGGGAGTCATGTGGAAACAGGGTGGCATCAAGAAGCAGGGAGAGATGTGGAATCAGGAAGATGGGGAAAAGGGGAGTCATGTGGAAACAGGGTGGCATCAAGAAGCAGGGAGAGATGTGGAATCAGGAAGATGGGGAAAAGGGGAGTCATGTGGAAACAGGGTGGCATCAAGAAGCAGGGAGAGATGTGGAATCAGGAAGATGGGGAAAAGGGGAGTCATGTGGAAACAGGGTGGCATCAAGAAGCAGGGAGAGATGTGGAATCAGGAAGATGGGGAAAAGGGGAGTCATGTGGAAACAGGGTGGCATCAAGAAGCAGGGAGAGATGTGGAATCAGGAAGATGGGGAAAAGGGGAGTCATGTGGAAACAGGGTGGCATGAAGAAGCAGGGAGAGATGTGGAATCAGGAAGATGGGGAAAAGGGGAGTCATGTGGAAACAGGGTGGCATCAAGAAGCAGGGAGAGATGTGGAATCAGGAAGATGGGGAAAAGGGGAGTCATGTGGAAACAGGGTGGCATGAAGAAGCAGGGAGAGATGTGGAATCAGGAAGATGGGGAAAAGGGGAGTCATGTGGAAACAGGGTGGCATCAAGAAGCAGGGAGAGATGTGGAATCAGGAAGATGGGGAAAAGGGGAGTCATGTGGAAACAGGGTGGCATCAAGAAGCAGGGAGAGATGTGGAATCAGGAAGATGGGGAAAAGGGGAGTCATGTGGAAACAGGGTGGCATCAAGAAGCAGGGAGAGATGTGGAATCAGGAAGATGGGGAAAAGGGGAGTCATGTGGAAACAGGGTGGCATCAAGAAGCAGGGAGAGATGTGGAATCAGGAAGATGGGGAAAAGGGGAGTCATGTGGAAACAGGGTGGCATCAAGAAGCAGGGAGAGATGTGGAATCAGGAAGATGGGGAAAAGGGGAGTCATGTGGAAACAGGGTGGCATCAAGAAGCAGGGAGAGATGTGGAATCAGGAAGATGGGGAAAAGGGGAGTCATGTGGAAACAGGGTGGCATCAAGAAGCAGGGAGAGATGTGGAATCAGGAAGATGGGGAAAAGGGGAGTCATGTGGAAACAGGGTGGCATCAAGAAGCAGGGAGAGATGTGGAATCAGGAAGATGGGGAAAAGGGGAGTCATGTGGAAACAGGGTGGCATGAAGAAGCAGGGAGAGATGTGGAATCAGGAAGATGGGGAAAAGGGGAGTCATGTGGAAACAGGGTGGCATGAAGAAGCAGGGAGAGATGTGGAATCAGGAAGATTGGGAAAAGGGGAGTCATGTGGAAACAGGGTGGCATCAAGAAGCAGGGAGAGATGTGGAATCAGGAAGATGGGGAAAAGGGGAGTCATGTGGAAACAGGGTGGCATCAAGAAGCAGGGAGAGATGTGGAATCAGGAAGATGGGGAAAAGGGGAGTCATGTGGAAACAGGGTGGCATCAAGAAGCAGGGAGAGATGTGGAATCAGGAAGATGGGGAAAAGGGGAGTCATGTGGAAACAGGGTGGCATCAAGAAGCAGGGAGAGATGTGGAATCAGGAAGATGGGGAAAAGGGGAGTCATGTGGAAACAGGGTGGCATCAAGAAGCAGGGAGAGATGTGGAATCAGGAAGATGGGGAAAAGGGGAGTCATGTGGAAACAGGGTGGCATCAGGAAACAAATGATGGGTAGTCTGAGGCCATTTCGAACTGAATGAACGAGGAAGTAAACAGAAGTTCGAAGTCGAGCAGGGTAGAAGCTTGTGATGAGTGAGATAAGGCTGGCATGTCGGGTTTGTAGGCAGATTGATGGCTGGTGTTGGCAGATCTGCCGCTGGTCACGCGAGAAGGGAGATACAGCGAGATGCAGAGAGAGTCAGACTCGAGGCTTGGCAAGGGAAAGGCGGAACACCGCAGCCACGGAAACGCGGGTGTTGCGTCGCGGAGAGCTCTCAAGGCTCCAGATTATTCGGGTGCAAAACATTTGCGTTTAATCCTTGAGCGGTTGGGTAGGGTTTCGAGCAGCATTGTACTCTTTTCAGACGCCCTCAGTTTTTGTGGGATGTTTCTCCGAATATATCTCAGCGGACAAGCGAGTGCGCCCGGGGGAACATGTTAGAACAAGTGACGAGAATGAATGACTAGGAAAGGGGAGGGGTACAAGTAGAATGTCGAGAGAAATCTGTACCCCCTAAGGCTAAACCCACTATAGCCTAGACAACTATAAACTCATGAACTAAGCCTAGATACAACTAAGCATATATGTTTGACACACCCCCATGGGCGAAGTGGGGGATAGCCAGAACAAGCAATGGTCACAAGACCAGTCAAGAGAAGAAGTAAAGCAAAGCAAGCTCAGGGTGGATCACAAAGTCACCACACAGTCCAAGCACAAGCAAAGGGCCACAAGGCCAGTTCACATCCAGAGTTATATAAAGAGAACAAACAATACAGTGATCATACCCTAACAAGTGCAAGCATGCAGGTATATAGATAGATCATAGTACATGCAGAGTCAGGTAGTAAGTGAGGCAAAGTAGGCACAAGGCCTAACACAGTAACAAAGCGCTGATGGTTACCAGGCAGAAGTGCCTTGGTGAAGACATCAGCAGTGTTGGCCCGAGTGGCCACGTACGCTAGATGAAGCTGACCACGCTGCTGCAACTCTCGAGCAAGGAAGAATCGCAGAGCGATGTGCTTCGTTCTGTGCTCCAGTCTGTGCTCCTGACACAAGGCTATCATGGCCTTGTTGTCTACGTACAGGACTGGAGGCGAACGAGGCTGCTCTCCCAAGTCGGTCAGCAAGTAGGTGAGCCAGCGTAGCTCCTGAGCAGCCATGGCTCCGGCGTAGATCTCAGCCTCACAGCTGGAGCTGAGAACTGAAGACGAGCGGCTAGACCGCCAAGAAACTGAGCCGGACCCAAGGCTGAAGGTGTAACCCTGCGACGACTGCTGCGTAGCTGAGTCGTCAACCCAGGAGGCGTCTGCGTGACCAGTGAGGACAACAGGACCCTGTCCTCCAAGCACAAGCCCCATGCCCGACGTACTGCACAGGTAACGCAGTACCCTCTTCGCAGCATCCTAGTGCACTTTTCGGTGTCTTCCGGGAGCCACGTAGCGAGCCAGAAGGCTGAGAGGGTACGCGAGGTCAGGTCGTGTGCAAGTCATCAGGTACATGAGGCAACCCACAAGCTCTGGGTACGGACCACTCGGCTCTACGGACTCGTCCGAAGGTGGAGCTGAGAGCGAGTGGCTGGTAGACAGAGGAGTGAGCTGTGGCGAGGAGTACTGGAAGCCGAAGCGCTGAAGGACCTGGTGCACCATGTGTGACTGAGTCAGTGTGATGGTGCGCCGTGCTCTTTCCCGGGTGATCTGCAGGCCAAGATAGCTGCGCAGTTCACCCAGGTCAGTGCAGGTATGTCTCTTCTGCAGCTCGGACTTCACTAGGGTCAGTGCCTCAGTGCCAGCCGTGGCAAAGACGAGGTCGTCGACGTACACTAGGACGTAGAAGGGCGGCAGCGAGGTGTCGGTGCGTAGAAACAGCGACGGGTCTGCTGTAGAAGGAACAAACCCAAGAGCCGCAAGTGTAGTCCTGAGTGTGTCGTGCCACTCGCGAGGCGCCTGGCGGAGACCGTAGACTGGCCGGCGGAAGCTCCACTGGGTACCTGTAGGAAATGACCCAGTGAAACCAGGTGGTCGGCGCAGCCAGATCTCCTTGTGCAGGCTGCCCTGCAGGAAGGCTGTACTGAAGTCCAGGGAGTGAAAGTCGTAGTCACGCTGAGCAGCTACGTGCAGCAACACCCAAAGAGTAGTCATCTTCGGGGTGGGGGAGAAGGTCTGGAAGTAGTCAACTCCCTGTCGCTGACTGAAACCTCGAGCAACGTAGCGCGCCTTGAAGGCAGGCGGAGAACCCGGCGGCCGCTTCACCCTGAAGATCCACATGCCATCGACAATGTTCACCTCAGGTGGGGGAACCTTGTCGACTTAAGTGCCTGTGGACTTCCAGGATGCCATCTCGGCATCCATAGCTGCCTGCCACTGAGAGGAGTAAGGACCCGTAATCGCCTCTGCGTAAGAGCGCGGGGTCGAGATGTCTGGTGCATCCGGGTCTCCCTCAGGGGCAAGCAGCAAGGAAGCGAAACGAGGTACAGCAGCTGCAAGACACTCAAAGTCCTCCTGCCTGTCCTCAAGGACGTCCGTGCCAAGAGCCTCTCCATCTCACCAGGGCTATTCTATTGATCGTATTGGCCCTCACCCTCTCTTCATCCCACCTCTCGAGCCCACAGAAGCCCCCGTCTCTGTCCTTGCCACCGTCGCCAACGTCCTCTCCCTTGGTCAATCCACTGAGTTCTATTCCCCCTCCCTCTCGCATTTCACCCCCCCCCCTCCTCCCATCCTCCCCAACCCTCCATCCACACCAGGGTTGCTCCATGCTGCTCCTGGCCCTCACCCTCTCCTTCACGCCTCTCCAGCCCATACCAGCACCGCTCTCCCTCGTCGGCACCATGGCCTATGTGCTCTCCTTCGCCATGGGGGGCGGTCCCATGTCCGCCCTGCTCCTCCCGGAGACCTTCCCCCCAAACATCCGCGCCTCTGCAACCCCATTTTCACTCCACTGCTCATAAATCTCATCCCTTTGCTCTCCCTCCCCCTCCCAACCCGCTTTTCCAATTCCACCAGGGCTGTTCGATGCTGCTTCTAGCCCTCACCCTCTCCTTCCCACCACTGCAGCCCATAGCAGCCCCACTCTCTGTCCTGGGAACAGTGGCCTACGTCATCTCCTTCGCCATGGGTGCTGGCCCCGTGCCCGCTCTGCTACTCCCTGAAATCTTCCCCTTCAACATCCGCGCCTCTGCAACCCCCTTTCCACTCCACTGCTCATAAATCTCATACCTTTTCTTCCACCCCCCCCTCCCATCCCGCCCTTCCCATTCCCTCAGGGCTGTTCGATGCTGCTCTTAGCCCTCACCCTCTCCTTCCCACCGCTGCAGCCCATAGCAGCACCGCTCTCTGTCCTGGGAACAGTGGCCTATGTGCTCTCCTTCGCCATGGGGGCCGGCCCCGTGCCCGCGCTGCTCCTCCCGGAGATCTTCCCCTCCAACATCCGTGCCTCTGCTGTGGCAGCAGCGCTCACCACGCACTGGCTCTGCAACTTCGTTATAGGCCTCTCCTTCTTAGGGTTTGTGAAGGTGGTGGGTGTGGCGGCGGCGTATGTTGGGTTTGCGGTGGTGTGCTTTGTCGGGGTGGTGTTTGTGCGCTCGTGTGTGGTGGAGACCAAGGGGCGGAGCTTGGAGGAGATTGAGAGGGAGCTGATTGGCAGTGATGCGTAGACGGTACATGGGTGTGTGGAGTGGACTCACCATGTAAGCAGAGTGTCATGACTTTTGGCTCAAGAGCTGGCTTGGGCCCCGCTGTTTGTGTGCGGATGCTTGCGTGGAGACCAAGGGACGGATTTTAGAGGAGATGGAGTGGGAGCTTATTGGCAGTGACGCATAAAGGCCTGTTCAGTCACTTCGCCTGGGAGAGAGGGAGTCATGACTTGAAATGTACACTGAGAGCCGGGGTGGTGTTTGTGCGCGCGTGCATGGTGGAGGCCAAGGGGCGGAGCTTGGAGGAGATTGAGAGCAGGCCCTCAGATATCAGGCTTTTTACCCTGATTTGACTGATTTTCAGCCTTTTTTTCTGTACCAACCCTGAACTTGTAGCCTTTTTTATTTTGTAACCCTGAAATTTCAGCCTTTTTTTATGGAAGGGGACTGATTTTTCAGCCTTTTATCGAACGTGTACACTGAATGCAGATTCCGAATCCTTCCTGTAAAACACCCGAGATTATCAGGACTTTATTTACAATGTCCTTGTGTACATGGTTTTATATACAATATGTACAAAGGTTTATGTAAATTTTTTAAAGTGTGTAACACTTTCTAAAATTGTGTATTGTGAATTGCGAAGATATTTGTAACGAAGCAAAATGCTTCGGCGACGTTTTTCATTTCAAACTTTTCAGTTTTCAAGTTCTCGATTTTTTCGTCCAAGCTGGCGAGGACTAAGAGCCTTCCTCGCTTCACTTCTCCATCGACGCTCCTCTCCGACATCCTCGACCGCAGCCTTTCGACTATGGCGCCGACGAACAACAATAGCCCCGGGGCTAAGGACGCAACTCCTCGACCGTCGTCGGGGCTTGAGAAAACGACCCGGGAAACCGGCGCGGAGAAGCGAAAACGCCCCACCGAGGAAAACGCCGAGGGGCCCCACACCGGGGTGGACGTGCTGCTCGGCGAGGGCGGCGGCACACGCTCGCGCGCGCCCTAGCCACGCACGTCCCACGAGCAGGCTCATGGGCCTGCAGTCGCCATCGCTGGCGCTGACGCGGGAGGATCGCGCGCCACCCAGAAGCGGAGGGCGACGGATTCGCCTGCAACCGAGGGGGCGGCGGCGAATCTTTCGCCCTCGCAAGTGGCGGCACTGCTGGCGCTCCTCCAAAAGTAGGCCGCGGCCCCGGTTACAACGCCAGGAGCTACAACAGAAGCGGAAAATTTCGCATCCGCTAAAACTGCAAACATCCGCAACAACGTCTCCACTTCCGCGAGAGTTGCCGCATCTCACCGCGCCGACAAGGGAAAGGCTCCAGCCGTCGAGGATGAACCCGCTGCACCCGATGACTCTGATTCCGACTCCGACAGCGATGCGGGTGAGGAACCAAACAACCATATGCCCCTCTTGCCTAACGATCTCCTCCACCCTCTTCCCTCTCCTCACCCTTCCACCGCGGTCGCCGCCTTCAACCGCAAAGGTGTCCGTGACCAGGCGGAGGTGTTCGAGGCGCTTCAGACTTACCTGGCACACGTGGAACACGAGATCCGCGGAGGCGACGCCGCCGGTGCTCTTAAAACCGTCGGCCAAGCCCAAGACCTCATCAAGCGCCGCTTCGACGTCTTGGTCGTCGCCGACCATGCCGGATTCGATGTGGCTGAGCGCTACCAACTCCTTAAGACTACGGCGGTGCTCACCTCACGCTCCTTCAAGATGGCAGTGGTGGATATGGCAGCCCTCAAGCGTATGAAGACCGGCTTCGCCCGCGGGAGCCGTCCGTTTCACCGCGATTCCCCCCACTTCATGCCAAAGACCATGGGCAGCGGCAACGGCTGTCGGGGCTTCAAGGGAACCTGTTTCTGATGCGGCCAGAATGGCCACATGGCTAGCGCATGCCCCCACGGAGGCCATGGGGGCAATGGGCCCGCACCGGTGGTGTGAGAGAAGCCCTAAGCAACCTCGCCCTCCCATCTCCCCGCACCCAAGGTTCTCATACCTTGGCTGCCTTTGATGGAGGGTGGGGGAGGGCTGGGCCGGGCGTGGACCAGGGGTCCTTGGTAGTGGCTGCTTAGCCCAAGGCTAGAGGCATGGACTGCCCTAGGGTGTTTGTGTACGCGTGTGTGTGCGTTCTTACGCAAAGCTCGGGTGGCCATGAACTTGTATTTCTAATTATAATGGAATGTTGCTCAGGCCGTTGGCCTTGGAGATCCAGCCTTATGACAAGTTATGTCACAAAAAAAAAAAAAAAAAAAAAAAGAGGAAGAAAGAGAGAGAGGGAGAAGGGTATGGGAAGGCAACGACCAACCCAATAGCAAGAGCAAGTAACAATGCTTGGCATGGCAAGGCATAGTGAGTTCTCGTTGGACAATAGTACCTTTTGTTACAAGCCATCAGGCTAACGTGCCTTGCGAGAGAGAGAGAGAGAGAGAGAGAGAGAGAGAGAGAGAGAGAGAGGGAGAGAGAGAGAGAAAGAGAGAGAGAGAGAGAGAGAGAGAGAGAGAGAGAGAGAGAGAGAGAGAGAGAGAGGAAGAAGAAGAAAGAGAAGCGCGCGCACGACGCGTGCGGAGGACCGTTGGCCTTGGAGATCCAGCCTTATGACAAGTTATGTCACAAAAAAAAAAAAAAAAAAGAGGAAGAAAGAGAGAGAGGGAGAAGGGTATGGGAAGGCAACGACCAACCCAATAGCAAGAGCAAGTAACAATGCTTGGCATGGCAAGGCATAGTGAGTTCTCGTTGGACAATAGTACCTTTTGTTACCAAGCCATCAGGCTAACGTGCCTTGCGAGAGAGAGAGAGAGAGAGAGAGAGAGAGAGAGAGAGAGAGAGAGAGAGAGAGAGAGAGAGAGAGAGGAAGAAGAAGAAAGAGAAGCGCGCGCACGACGCGCATGGACCCTCACTTGACTGGTTCTCACTTTGATACCCACAAAGGGGGGTGATACCTATTGAATCCAACTGATTCTCTGCCGCACCTCATTCACGCGCACTCGCAATCTCATTACCCTTGTCAGACCCACGAGTTGCACGTCGTTGTGAGTGAATTATCCGCTCATACGTGCGCGCGGTTACATATCACGTAATTTAACGTCATGGTTCGACCCCGTACCCCTGCTATCCCCAAACAAAACACCCCATGGCAGCCGCCACGCCTTCATGGTCAGGGGAGCAGGACGAGATGTTGGCAACTGCACTTGGTGGGCTTCGTGGTGCGAGAGCTCCTTGATCCTGTCGGTCATTGCTAATGGATATTGGCTTCCTTGGAAGGCATTCTCACCGCCGCCGTTTCGCGATCAAAATCACGCCGGAGTCTTGAAGCACACCGACTTCACCCGATCGGCAATTCAGGAATTGCTCACGTCGGGAGCAGCAGCAGTTGCATCTAGCTCATCGGCCGTTACATGCATCAGCCCACTCAATGTTGCGGAACAACGCAACAAGTGCCGCCTCATTCTCGACTTGCGAAAGGTCAATCAATACCTCATTGTCCCCAAATTCAAGTACGAAGGTCTTCTTCGCGTCGCTGAACTGGCAAAGCCGGGCGACTGGATGTTCTCGGTTGACTTAAAGTCTGGCTATCATCGCATCGATATTCATTCATCTTGCTGGTCATTCCTAGGCTTTCACTTCGAAGGCACCGACTATTTTTTCAAGTCGTTACCGTTCGGCCTCGCTACAGCGCCCTTCCTGTTCACCCAGTTGATTAAGCAGTTGGCACGGAAATGGCGAGCGCAAGGTATTCGGGTCATACCTTATGTGGATGATATATTGTTCCTTTGCGACTCGGAACAAGACGCTCGTTTGAAAAGTGGTGCAGTCATTCGAGACCTCAAGGAGTCAGGGCTCGTCATCAACGCAAAAAAGTCACACCTGGCCGCGACTCAAAGATTGCACTTCCTCGGAATGGAGCTGGACACCGCATCCGGGAGATTCACTATCGGCCAAGAGAGAAAGGCGCAACTTACACAAGCACTACGTGTGCTGCTTCTCGCTTACGAGCGCAACCAGCGGGTTTCAATCCGCCTCGTCGCCCGAGTCACTGGCATTCTTGCATCCATGGCGCTCGCCCTTGGCGCGACGGCGCGCTCTTTCAGCCATCAACTTTTGACACTCATTAATGAGGCGCCATCATGGAATGCACGGGTGACGCTGACCTCGGAGGTCCGCGACGAGCTACAATTTTGGCTTGACCATTTTGACCGTTTTAACGGGGCCCCGTTTCACATGCCCCACAGTCTGGATACGGTCATTCACGTCGACGCTAGCGCGCACAGTTGGGGTGCAACCCTTTCATCCTTCCCCGGCGGAAGCTCGCAAGGAAGCAGCCCCATGCCAAAAGAACTTCTCTCCACATCGAGCACACGCCGAGAGCTCGAGGGAGTGTTATGGGCACTGCAGACATTCACGGACCAGATCCAAGGCCGCCACGTACTCATTCGAGTGGACAACCAAGGCGTCTTCTTCATTCTTCGCAAAGGCGGCTCTCGCCAGCCTGAGCTCACTCTTCTGTGCAAGGCCATCATCGTAATTTGCATGGCGCACGAAACCCGGCTGGCCATCGAATGGATTCCACGGGCCCTCAACGCGCATGCAGATGCACTGTCCAAGTTGGAAGACCACGATGATTACTCGCTCAAGCTCCCCTGGTTTCGATTATTGGACAGGCGTTGGGGATCACACACCATCGACCTATTCGCGAACGCCAACAACGCACAACTCTCGCGCTTCTGCGCTAAACATCCGCACCCACGCGCAACTGCCATAAATGCATTTTCGCTCGATTGGGGATTAGAGCACGGCTTCGCATTTCCGCCACCGAGCCTCATCCCCGCGACCCTGCACCATGCCGCACGCACGAACGCCACAATGACGCTGGTCATTCCCGAATGGACAGGCGCTGCTTGGTGGCCCCTAATCAGACCCTCCCCACACACCTGGGCAATCGGCATTTCCTCCATCCTCTATCTTGCTAGTGGTAGTCAATGCTTGCATGTGGGCTCCCATGAACATGCATTTTCGGGTG